TCACATTAAGATTTTTACGGTGGTAGGGCCACACAACAGCCTCGGCTGTTGCACGAATGGGCAGGCTCGTCCGGGTAAGTACCACGACCTCACAGAACACCCGCGTAAAGTGGAAGTATAATACTTTCGCGTTTCGTCCGATGAGTGAGGTGGCCGGAGCCCAAATTTCAAAAGGTTGTCAGTCAACGCATCTGCAACCCTCGGGTGTAGCAGATGTCCATGTGCGGCGGTATTCACTTACCATCAGGTGAACCGTCTGTTCGTTTGGCAACTTTTCACATAACAAAAAAAAACTCATTACAAAATATCTAATTTGATATAATAGTATGAATGTATTAACGTCTTTCACGCGGTCTGTGGACTAAAGAGTTTGACTAATTTTAAAATAAAAAATATTGTTCATTACATAGGCTATTATAATTAATGTTCATATTTAAACGGTAGGTCGTCTGACTCGTATTACGTCACGGCGGGCCACACAACAACTCTAAAGATGCACGTGACAACGGGACTAAATACATGTTCCTTTTTAGGGTTCCGTACCTAAAGGGTACAACGGGACCCTATTACTACTGTCTGTCTATCCGTCGGTCACCCGGCTGTATCTCATGAACCGTGATAGTTAGACAGTTGAAATTTTCACAGATGATGTATTTCTGTTGCCGCTATAAAAACAAGAAAATCAGAATAAAAAATGTTGGGGCTCCCATATAACAGACATGATTTTACAGGCAGTTTTTATAGATACTGGTACGGAACCCATCGTGCGCGAGCCCGAATCGCACTTGGCCGTTTTTTATGCAAATAAAAGATCCGTGCGACTATGAACCCACTGACCGATAATCGATCCTTCCAACCACCTTACAACGTTCTCTTACATTATATATCCAAGCTTCACTTACGTGAGCATAGTATGTTAAAGTATTTTCCTGGTTAAAATAACTAATATTAATGACCGCGTTCATTATCGACGAGTTGATTATACGGCACGATAATCGCTTCAGTTCAAACCAGCCTTCGCGCAATATTACACCGTACAACAAAATAGCTCTTCTTTGGAATAATCTAAAGCGAGTATATGTTTAATTGTGTTATTTCGTACGTAGCGCCATTATTTCTGAAGGTATTTAAAGGAGATTTGATACTTAGACGCTGGAACTAACTTATAACTTTTCATCCCGTAAATATAATGCTGTATTGTAACTGCTAAGATTGTTTAAAGCATAAAGTAAAGTAAAAGTAAAGTAACAGCCTATACATGTCCCACTGCTGGGCAAAGGCCTTCTCTATACAGAGGGCATCAGGGCATAGTCCACCACGCGGCCCCACTGCGGAGTGGCGGACTACACATATCTTCGAAATACATTTTTTTTAAAACATGTAGAAGTTTTAAAACATGTAGAAGTTTTTTTTTTTTTGTTATTATTTCGAAAATATGCAGGTTTCCTCACGATGTTTTCCTTCACCGCGGAGCACGTGACAATTCAGCACTTAAAGTTAAAAACTTCATTGGTGCCGGCACCGGAGATCGAACTCAGGTTGCTCGAGTATATATTGAATTAAAGGCGAGCGCCCGGACACAGCTATCACGGCTCATTATAAAGCATAATGCTTAAAAATTTTGTAGGAACAAAGTATATTAAATGAAGTCAATAAAGGAACAAAGTAAATGAAATACGTTGAGATTTTCGTCGGTACGAAGACAAGTCGATTAGCTCGGTGGGTACTTACAATTTTGTTTATCTTTTAGCCATTTATATCTATCATCCATCTCTCTTTAGTCGTAGCGTTTGATTAACTTGACCTATTACGATAGTGTATTATGATCAACTTCCTGAGAAACTATTTTTACCCAATTGCCAAATGAGGGTTATATTTTTCTAGTCTATGTGTGTACACACAACGTATTGACGGATTCAAATGAGATGTTATTGTTGACTCGGTGGCGCAGTTGCGAAGCTTGGCTTCGGCGTCGGTCATCTTGGGTTCGATTCCCACACGGGACAAGTGTTTGTGTGACGCATAGATTGTTCGGGATCTGGGTGTTTGTTTCCCAAGGGGTTTGGGCAGACGGCCGGTCGTAAAAATATAGCCAAACCGCTTACATGATTCGAATGCTGTGCCGACCCCAGCTTGGTGGGATAAGGGCAGCAAGATGACGAGATGGTAACAGCTCTCAGTTCAATTTCAGAAGATACATAGGTTATAATATTGAAATAGCTTCGAAGCTTTTTTGTGACAGACAGAGACAAATAATATTTTATTATAACATTTAGCAGCAGCCTCGGCTGTTGCACGAATGGGCAAGCTCGTCCGGGTAAGTACCACAATCTCACAGAAGACCGTCGTGAAGTGGAAGTATAAATACTTTCCCGTTTCGTCTGGTGAGTGAGGTGGCCGTAGCCCAATTTTCAAAAGGTTGGCAATGCATCTGCAACCCTCGGGTGTAGCAGATGTCCATGGGCGGCGTATTTACTTAACATCAGGTGAACCGCCAGCTCGTTTGCAACCATCCCGCATAAAAAGAACCTCCTTTTTCGAAGTCGGATGAAAAGGGGAATCGACGCAATGGAATGGCTATCTGGCGTGCCAAACGTGCATTGAACTTGGTTGCTGCCGCGTGCGCTTGATCGATATTGGGTGCCGGAATAAAATGGCGCCTTCTACTTCCGTTTGGCCTTTTTTCGCGCCAAAACGTAAAATCGGCACTTCCGGCGTATGCCTTCCTAGTTTACATTGTAATTTGAGAGGTGCTATTGCATCCATTTGTAGAATCGATTGGTTTGACACTTTGCAAGATGACCAGTACGATACCTCCGTGATAGACCTACAGTGACAAGTTCTGGAGTTGCCTAAACTCTTGGCACAATGCTCAAGTAAGAACATTTTAATTTCGGCTGGGGACAGCTGTTCGGTTGGGTCTAGCTCCCTTGTGCTCCCATGTCAATTTCATTAATTTGGACCTTGGGTTCCAGTGATACAGCAGAAACCTCGAAATCAAGAGAACATCTATAATGAAATCTTTAAGTCGGTTCTGTGGCCCCATGTCAATTTTTTTGATATCGATCTTTGGGTTCCAGAGATACATCAGGGATCTCAAAATCAAAAGAAAATATATAGCGTAACGTTTGAAGTCCGTTTTGTTTTTTTGTTAGTTAAACGACTGCTGGTAAAGAAGGGGTAAGAGGAAATTAAGGGGTAATTTCAAGTTATAGACCAAGCGCGGGTGAAATCTGCTTATTCTGTTGACATTTCTCAGCGATCGGTTGTCAACCCGTACCCTCTTCTATAACCATTACTTACTACTACTATTCTTACTAACATCTTGCACGATTCATTAATCAAGATTATATAGAAGCGGTAAGAGGAAAAGCTGGCAACAGTGTTACAATATAAATAGTTCGAAATAATTCAAACGATCACAATGATCAAGTAAATTACGGCAAAACTTTCACCCAATTGGGACGAGATGTATTACGTGTTACGCAAAAAATACACAATGTCAAATAGTACAACATTTACAAAAACATTTGGGTCTCAAAGTTTCAAACGTATTTTTTTTTTTTTTAATTTTGTCATAGGTGCCAATCATTTTATTACATAGGAGCCATCCGTAACCTATTCGCAACTTTAAAGGAATATTATTAACCCTATTAAAGAAACTTTAAACTGCAACATTTAGATACATAGCCAACGTCCCTACTTGCGATTTTACACCGCGCAGTTAGTGGGGATTTGAAAAAACTGAAGATAAATAACAACTCGTCGTCCAATGACAACCATGACGCCTTAATTCTTTCGTTATCGAAAGATTATCGATCGGACGGAACGAAAAGAAAAAGGCGTCCGAAAGTGAAATCATTTGGCGTGTCCGTATAGCACGCGACGCGATGTGTACACGCGTTTGGTGGGATGACACGCTGACGGGATTAGCGGATTAAAGATCGCGAATTAAAGAAGCGGACCGAAAAGTATTTAATCTCTTGGTAAAAGATTGAATACTCTTTGGTATCTCTTTATGTTTTTGTATTGTGACGCTAATTAACAATGTTTCTGCTTGATGAGGAACGTTCTGCAAGTCTTCTTGTAAAAATAAAAACCTTCTTTTCACTTTTTCGTGTGGAAATAAACAACGGTATATTTATTAGAATTTGTAGAACAAAGGAACGAAAAGTTTTTCGCCGCTGTAAGAATCGAACCCATGTCTTCGGGATTCACGGTATATAACTGTATATTTCACACTGGCTAGAATATCTCTAAATAAGAGATTAAACACCTTTTGGTATCCCTTTATATTTTTCCGTTGAAACGCTAGATTAATAAATTTGAATAATAATGAAGTTAAAGTTGAAGTCGGGTGGAGAATGGTCTTGAGGCAAGTCTAGGCTTGGCAGCGACGAAAACCTGAGCGTAAAATACTTACATGTATCTTCGCCTTTTTGTATGGAATTATCCTGTATTTTTGTAGGAATAGCCAAACGAAATCGTCCCGCTGTCTGTCCCTATGTATGCTTAGATCTTTAAAACTACGCAACGGATCTTCATGCGGTTTTTTTACTAGATAGAGTGATTCAAGAGGAAGGTTTATATGTATAATACATTAAACTCGTGCGAAGCCGGGGCGGGTCGCTAGTATGTAATAAGTAGTGACATTGAATATTTTCTCATTGCTTGCGAAACAAAAAAGCTCTACGAAGAAACATTTTCTTAGCTCGTTTTAGATCGCTAGATTTTCTTCTTACGTTTCGATTTATTAAAAAATCAAAAGCTTACGTTACACGGTGTCCGAGCATTTCTACAATCAATAAAGACAACGAATTAAAAAGCGCTTACCCGCAAAGACACTTAACAAATGCGTTTCTGTTGTCATCAATCGTGAACAGTCAACAAGTTTGTGTGAAAAACGCTACAGCGTAACTTGTAAAACCGCCTCCGCTTAAGAATGCGTGCAGCCTTATTTGCTCGCATTGAGTCGTGGAAAAGTCCCTAGTGTTATACGAATGAGCTGGCAACAATCACCGGTGACTTGCGGAACGTAGTGTATTTGACGGCCGAGGAAAGTTTTCGCACGTAATACGTGACATAAGAAGTGTGTGGTCATTTGTGAATCAATGGAACGGTCATAGGTGATTTCTAAATTGATTTCGTTATAGCTTCCGCACTCAAGGACGAGGTGGTCCGAGCTGGGGATAATTTGTGAGTTGCAATTTTGAAGTCTTCCACAAACCCAAAAAAAAAACAATTATGGAACATAACAGAGATTACCCAATGATGTTTTGATCTTGAATTGTGTTTACGAATTGTTCCGCTTTACATTATACGACATGTGATAGATGATATACAACGCATGATACGGAAAGAGATAGCGGTCTATACAATTGCAATCTAACTACACCGGTTGGTGTAATTTGAGTGCCTCATTTTCGGTGCGCCAATCTACCTCGTTTTGTACATCATATCATTGGAATTGCCTCCTTTTCCAGAAGTGCGCGACAATCCTGCTCGTGGTGTCATCGGCCTTGGCGCAATACGAGGGCTATGGCAGTTTCGAGGGTCACGGCTTCGAGGGCCACGGCTTCGAAGGTTACGATGCCAAGGAGCCAATAGAACACCAGAGCTTGGACGCGCACCATGGCGAGGACTACGATATCGACTACCATGTAATATATACTTAATTGCATTATTAAACGTCAGAGCCTGTCGATAGAGCAATCTTGGATAAGGACAATACTCAGAGAGCTAATAGGGTTGCACAACGGTCTTCGCTGTTGCACGAATGGGCAGTTCCGTCCGGGGAAGTACCACGACCTCACAGAAGACCGGCGTCAAGTGAAAGTTACACTTCTACGTTGTCTGGTGTGTTGGGTAACTGGGACCTTTTATTAAAAGTGGAAACACATCTGCAACCCTGCGTTTGTTGCAAATGGCCATGAGCGGCGGTTATCACTTAACATCAGGTGAACCGCCAGCTCGCTTGCCACATTCTCACTTAAAAAAATAAATAAATAAAACAAACAAAGTCAACGTTAAGAAGCCACGGCGTTTGATTAAGATTATTTTCTTTTATCAATAAACTAATCCATTACAAGAGTGGTTACCGTCAAAAAGGGACCGTACTAGATGAAAAGCAATTCTAAAGAAGACCGCACTAATAAAATATATACCAAGCTAATAATATTTACAGGCGCATCCAAAATACTCCTTCGACTATTCCGTGAAGGACCCCCACACGGGAGACGACAAGGAGCACTGGGAGACTAGAGACGGTGACAAAGTAAAAGGTAAAATAAAAAAACATTTCTATAAATATTTTTAAACGTTATCTAGGTAATGTTAGGTAGAAGATCTGATCCCAAACTAAACGAATTTTGTATTATCCCAGATATCGCTCACAGATAACTGGTGAAGGCAATTCACTTTTCAAACGAATTCAAAAACTTTTTTTTTATTTTTTATTTTTTTATTTTTTTAACACTGCCCTTACTTTAAGATAATATTATCCTGTGTTGTAAGGAAGTTTTACAAACATAAATTTCACGCGGACAAACACCCAGATGCGAAACAACTATCTGTGGGTCACACAAATAGTTGTCCCGTGTGGGAATCGAACCCACGACCCCCGACGCCGAAGCCAATACCTTGGCAACTGCGCCACGGCGTCAACATTACACAACATTAAACATTAAACAACACAAAACTAGGGAGGTTCCCAATTCGACTTGTATTTTTTAATTTTTTTTTTTGTTTTTTTTCCTCAGAACATTCTACTGGAAGAACCGTTGATGAAAGAACGATTTGATGATTCTTTTTTTATTTGAAAGCTGGTGCTTCCCATGTGGTCCCACATTAATTTCATCGGTATTGGATCTTGGGCTCCGGAGATACTTAAGGATCTCCTGAAAATCAATTATAAAATCCAATACAGAGCGAGATATCTGATGTCGGTTTTGTTTCTCGTTAATAAAAAAATGGACTTGTGTAAATACATATTAGGGATACATGAACACCCAGACACTAGATAAATACTATGATATTCACAAAATACTTTTCCAGTAGTGCATACCGAACCCACACCCTCTATCGCAAGAGACATTTTCACTATCCACTACGCTATCCGGGTCGTCAAACTCGTTTGAAAAACTTTCATTTACTTACAATGAATGTATGTCGCTTACTAACTCATTTAAAAAGTAGTGGAACCAGGACAGTACCTTTAGGAATTCGAAAAACCCCTAAAAATTATGCACCTGTAAAGATGAAAATTTCACACCAGGTGGGAGCAATCCTTTTATAATCAGCTTGATCCAACCCAAGCATCTGCAATAAGTCTTCGGTTTGGGGTATTTTTGGTAAAATCACTTCACTATATATCTAAGGCCAGTGTACAGCTAAGAGTTATTGCTTTCACATTTGTGTTTAAGCCCAGAGAAAAAGAACTAGCCAACCATAATATCTTTTCCATTTATGTTAGTAGACAAAATCTTTTTTTTAACATCGCCCTTACGGCATTATGACATCCTGTGTTATAAGGACGTTTCACGAACATAAATTTCACGCAGACAAACACCCAGATGCGGAGCAATTATCTGTCGGTCACACAAATATTTGTCCCGTGTGGGAATCGAATAGAACCTTCACCCAGATGCGAAACAATTATTATCTGTCGGTCCCACATATAGCTGTGCCGTGTGGGAATCGATCCATTAACCCGGGCGCCGAAGCCAATAAATTATGCAGCAACTGCACCACGGAGTCATAATATCTTATGTATTTTTTTTATATATTTACTAGCAGGCCGATGCAACATCATTTGCGCCAATTCTGCCGGGTCCATACTTTTCTACTTTTAGCATAGCGCCATCTATCGGATACTTAGTCAATCCATCCGATAAATTAATCTTACTTATAGGACTCACAGAATAGCTCTTTGTCATCTAATAAACAAATAATTTGGAATGACAAATAATTGAGATACAAACTACCGTATCTCCCAAGTTGAACCAAATTACAAATGCTTACAAAATTTGATAAGCATTGGTTCAGTAGTTTCGGAGTTTATCGCGAACATACATCGTGACAAGATATTTTTATAAGATTAATTTGTATTTTATTGATTCTCTTATGATTCGAACGCAGGAAGTTACACCCTGATGGAGACGGACGGCACTAAACGCGTCGTGGAGTACGAAGCGGATGACAAGAACGGTTTCAACGCGGTCGTCCACAGAATTGGTGAGTTAATATGATAAATATGGGAATTTTAAAAATTACTAGAATTAAACATTACTATGGTGATTTCTTGAGTTTACGAAAAACACGTTGTCAAATAAAACTAGCCTGTAAAGACTTCGAAACGTCTGAAAGTAAATTAAAAATTATCCAAACATCTCTAAAATTAGGTTTCTTTACATGACAGATTTTCGTGGCAAGTTTGATTAAACGTTAGTCTACATTACCTGCCAATTAACTCGCCTTAAATTGTGAAATGATTATTATACATGTCAAAGTAATTAGATGAGATCTCGAGACGCACAGTAGTTTGCAAAGTTAGGTAACATAAAATTCTTTTGGCAATTCATCAACACGTTTTAAGATCCGTTCGCTCTTTCATCGCGTACGTTCGTCCACAGGGACCCCCAAACACCCGCAGGAGTACAAAGTGAGCAAGCCGGTCTACGAAACGCAGAGCTACCAGCACGAGTTCCAGAATGAGGAGAGCTTTGTACCGTCATACGGGAGCTACGAACATTGACACGGCAACCCTTTGATCTCGCCGACGTCCGCTACGCGACACGCCTCTTAGACACTAATTGTAAATAACCACTTGGAACTCGTTGTAAACTTGTAACTGTAATCTTAGCTTAATCAGGACAGTTAAGTCTACGATCGACTATCTTCAACGTTGCTGTAACGTGTTTCGTTACTTCACCGATTAGGAGCATCACAGATGAAAAATATTTACGCGTACGTTTCTAAAAATATTGTATAAGCCACTCTGATGGCAAGTGCCTACTATGTGTCGAATATGTAGAAGACAAGGATGTGTGGAAATGATTCTGGCTCGTACCATGGCTTCTGCTGATTTTACACCTAAACAATTTTGTATTCTTGTATAATTAAAAAAAGAAAATAACAAGACCGCAGAGTTTCCTGCCGGTTCTTCTATGATCAGGTCTAGTTTAAAGAACCGGTGGTAGTTTTTTAACGTACAATAAGAGCTTAAAAGAAGCGTAGACAAAATTAAAGAAAAATGTTTGACTATAACTTAAATTGTTTCAAATTAAAAAGTTAAAAAGGAACATAACAATTCCCATCAATCATTTGACGCTATAGAACGTTGAAGATTGTCAGATCGTTGTTTTAATTTTAAATGTAAAGAGACGATCGAGATAAATAGATACTTCGCTTAGACACTTTATTGTTAGACGGTGTGCGTGCGGTTTCGAAGCTGTGATTTGATACGATTGCGCCAGTGAGCGGGCAAAAAACGCACATTTTTCGCATCCCTGCACGCAATATTTGCAACCCGCCGCATAAACGTTTAGTGAAATCAGCTATGTGTGGATTATTCGACAGGAAAATTTGATCGGGTTTGACTTGCTTAAAGATTCACCTAAAGACTTAATCCAGTATTAGAATTTCATGTCAAACGGCATGAGAGCGGCTGCCTTACGAGGAATAAAAGCCTTATAATTGAATGGGAGCTTGTCTTCAAATTGACATACATTGGACTGTTATTTATTTAGATCTGACGTCTTACGTGCGTATTAAAGTTCGTTATTTGAAAAATGTATCCTTCCTTAATTAGAATTATATTAATGAGACTGCATAATGATTTGCCTTAGTTTTAAGTTTTGTACAAAAACTGTCGCAATGGAAATAAACTTTTTTTATTGTTTTACGATGGAGAACCGTTTCATTTCCAGTTTATTTTCGCGGCAACCCTTAAATAGACACAGTCACAATCACGCGTACATTAGAAAATTACAAACACAGAGATTCGTGTACCCACGCGCACATTACTAAACAGACCAAGCGCTATTTATCATTAACAATGGACACCCTGTAATTTATAAGAACTGCAAGCTTATTAGAGTGTGGAAATTAAGGTTTGACGAGTCATTACTTTCTTGCATGTGTCTACGCTTGGCCGGCTAACTACGCAATGAAACTGGCAACGCGTTTTTAGTGTCAATTAAATACGAAAACGTATATAAGCATCGGAACGAACCAACGTTCAGATAGGCGATATCAATGAAATGAAATATGGGACACCATGTATACATGATGTCCCATATTTCAATATTCGTTGCCGAGTCCAAGAGATGCCCCCGCTCCAAATCTAACTGGACAAACACACAAAACAAATCCTCTTACACAAAATTTTATTAAAAATGCACGTTACCACATGCGAATTTTACTTATTAAGACGGTTTGAACGAAATCGTACCGAAATTCATAAAAAAATGACGTGTTAGCCGACTTCAAAAATAGTTCTAACATTCAAATATAACGCACAAGACTTTACTTCGGCACAATTTGAACAGTCCAAACCCGAATATTCCAAATATTCGGCGATTCGGAAACATTTTGGCTTGAACATAATATGCCATTTTATATTTAATTCTAAACAACGCAACCCATACTCTACTGCGTTTTTGTCTGCAACGGGCAGCCCTTATCCTGTGATTTCTAAATCCGTATTAACCAAATGATAGGTAACCAAAGGAACAAAGAACCATAGGTCAGCTGAGAGTTGCGATTTAAGTTGAGGAACGTGAGGAGACAATGAACTATAAGTCAGCGTCGGGATAATGTTTAAGTTAAGTTGAGGACCGTAAGGGGACAAAGAGCGATAGATTTAAGGACAGCTGACAGTTTGTGTTCAAATTATGAAACTTGTGGAGCAAACGACAATAGGTCCGACAAGAGTTAATGATTAAGTTGAGGAATATGAGAAGACAAAAAACTATAGGTCAGTTAAGAGCTGGTGTTTGTAATAAAGAATGGAAGATGACTGATAAATTGATTTATGTTGTGGAACGTGTGCAGACAAAGAACGATGGAATATCCAAGGGCTGGTGTTTGACTTGGGGAAACTGAAAATCACAAACAACGATAGACCAGCTGAGAGTTGGTATCTAAATTGTGGGACGTGTGGAGACAAGATGGTGTATAGGTGGAGGAATGTGAGGAAGCAACGATAGGTCAGCTCAGGGTTGATGTTAAGTCGAGGAGCGTAAAGTAAAAGAGAACGAAAGACCAGTATTGCGGATCTTTTTTAACTTGTGTAATAACATGTTTCTTTTTTGACTTGTTTCTTTTTTTAGTGTTCATCTCATTTATATCAAATGTGAGTGCTGTTTGATGTTTGTCAAAGTAAAATTTATGTCATACGTCCTAAGATCGGCTGAAAGTTTCTGTTCAAATTGTGTAAAGCAGACAAAGGACGCTGAGTCGGCCCAGGGCCGGTGTTGGAATCGAGTGGCGTTTTTTTTTATGTGACTACTTCACCTCATGTTAAGTGATAACCGCCGCCCATGGAGGTTAGCAACACCCAAAGGGCTGCAAATGCGTCGCCACCTTTAAAATTTAAATAAATCTACCCCGGCTACCTCACTAACCAGACGAAAAGCAGAAGTGTAGCACTCCCACTTCAGCCGGTCTTCTGTCAGGTCGTGGTAGTTACCCGGACGGAGCTGCCCATTCGTGCAACAGCGGACACCGTTGCGTGGCCCTACCACAGCGTGGACTCGTGCTCATTCGTGCAACAGCCGAGGCTGCTGCGTGGCCCTACCACAGCGTGGACCCACCTCTGCGCCAGTGCGAGCTTCAGCCGGTCGTTCTCGTAGCGGAGCTGCTGCTCGGCGCTCTCCGGCGCGGGGGGCTCCGGCGGCGCGGCGCTCGACGCGAGCGGCCCGCGCGGCGCCCTGCCCACCGTCGCGTAGCCGCCGCCCTGCGACTGCGATACATACACGAATATCAACCGCCCTGCCACTGGGGAAAGGTGGATCGATATATCGATATTTATATAAATACCTATCGCCCTGCGACTGGGGAAAGATGGATCGATATATCGATTTTTGTATAAATATTAATATCGGCCTCGATATATCGAGGAGAAAATATAGCAGACATATTAAACAAATCATGATGCATGATGCGGTGACCTTTAATTAGGTTCAAAGAAATATTTTATTTTCTCAAAAAAGAATATTACAATATTCACTTATCTTTAAGAAAATTTTACATAGTACATATTGTTTTCTTGATAGTACATGTTAAATAACAATTTAAAAAGTTTGGATAATCGGAGTTATTGCTAACTTTCCATTAAAAACATTTTAAATTTTTGACATCGGGTGGTAACTTATTATATAGCTGAGCTCCTTCAAACTGTATATTTCTTCTTCCATACAAAGTCCTGATTTTAGGTAGTTCTAAGTGATGTTTATGTCGTGTGTATTTATGTGTTTTCTTATTAAATATAATTTGTGTCTTTATTTGATTTGTTAATATTTTTCTGATAAGTATGCATGTAGTATAAATGTATAATTGTTATATATTAAATATTTTCGTTTTATTATATATGTATTTAGTAGATGTTAGAAAACTATAGTTGAACAAAACTTTAACAATTTTATTTTGCGCCCTTTGTAAATTATTTAAGTTTGTTTTAGCAGCCGTACCCCATATCTGGATTAAATATTCTAAATGCGGCTTTACTAGCGTGTTATATACATTGTAACGTAGCTTATATGGCATGCATTTTGAAATGTTTCGCAGCGCTCCAGTAAGTGGAATTATTTTTGACCGCACATAGTTTAAGTATGCTTTGAATGTTAATCTACTATCTAAAATAAGACCTAAATATTTTTCTTGGTTTGATCGCTTTATTTGTTGATTGTTAATTATAAGGGGAGAAAAACTAGAAATTTTCTTGTTCTTTGCAGAGAAAATAATGTATGATGTTTTATCTACATTAATAGTCAGTAGGTTTTGTTTTAGCCACATATCTAACCTAATAAGATCTTTCTGAGCTTCTGCGATGACGTAATTAATAGAATGTCCAAAGTAAAAAAGACAGGTGTCATCAGCATATAGTGAAATATGTCCAATTAGACCAGCCTCACTAATGTTATTAATGTATATAAGAAACAACAGAGGCCTCAAAACCGATCCCTGTGGTATTCCGTACTCTATTTTAGCAGGGTTGCTTTTAAAATCTTCAATTTTAACAACTTGGTATCTGTTAGTAAGATAGGACTCAAATATTTTATGGGCACTTCCAGTAATACCAATATTCTTAAGTTTTTGTAATAAGATCAAATGGCTTACTGTGTCAAAGGCCTTTTTGAGGTCAATAAAAATACCAAGAACTATCTTTTTCTTATCAATATTATCCTTGATTTTTGTAACTAAATCAATAGTTGCTGATACCGTGTTGGAATTTGGTAGGAAGCCATATTGGTTTTTATACAGGAAATTTATGTGTGTGAGGTATTTAAATAGACGACTATATAGCACTTTTTCGAATATTTTTGATATCACCGGTAGTACCGATATAGGGCGGTAATTACCGGGATCCGTCTTAGTTCCAGCCTTATATATAGGGGTTACTTTTGCAACTTTTAAAGTATCAGGGAACATTCCATTTACAAGACAATTATTGATGCTATTCGTTAAATTACTAACAATTAGATTTTTTATGGATTTTATGGACTTGGTCGTTATTTCATCTATTCCTGAGCTGGTGTTGCTATCTAAGCTATCAATGACTTTTATTATTTCATCTTCTGTGCAGGGTTTTAATTGTGATAATATATTATCATTATTTTTATTGCGTATAGTGCTAGTCTTTATATTATGTAGTGTATTTAATGTAGGATCGGAAGAGTGGAGAATTTTTTCAGCTAATATCGTACCAATATTTACAAAGTAATTGTTAGAACTATTAGATATATATCTCAAGCCTGTATAATTTAGCATTTAGCGACTGTTACTGGTCGGTAATCCAATAAATAAATAAATATATAAATAAAACTTAGGTCCTGTAGTCAAAAACGGAAAATGGTATGCCAGTATTAAATATTTGACACCTAATGATTCAGTGCCGCATTCGAATTGGTAAAAATAACGCTTTTTGATACGATTTCGATATTCAATATTTTGTATCGATATATCGGACTAAATATATGGGCTGCAAATATCGATATATAAAATCAAAAATAACGATTTATATATAACGAGATTGTCGACATATTTTCGACATCCCTACCTGCGACACATCCGTGGTGAACCGCCGCCCACTTTCGTGGGGTCACAAAGTCCCTCCAGCTCGTTTGCCACGTTCTCAAACATTTTAATAAAGTGGGCCCCGGCTACCTCACTCGCCTGACGATACGCAAAAGTATAACGCTCCCAATTTGCGCCGGTGTTCTGTGATGTCGTGGTACTTACCCGGACGGACCTGCGCATTCGTGCAACAGCGAACACTGTTGCGTGGCCCTACCACACTGACCACAGCATATCAAACAACCGTTCAAGGATAGTACTCTAAACACCAATCCCACCAGAGTCAAGCGCCCTTTATGGATGATGATACCTCACGAACCTATATACATAATTTTTGATGTAAAATTTGACGATTCATAAGAGCGCGCAAGCGTCTATTTGAATAAATATATTTTTGATTTTGATTTTGATGCTCCCTACTGAGGTTTTTTGAGCATCCGCCAAGATCAAGCGCCGGTCTTTCAGGATCGGGCTCTCTCCTTGAAGGTGTGGAATATGTTCAGTGTCCAGGTGCTCGCTTTCAATTTAGTATACTCGAGCGACCCGAGTTCGAATCCCGGTGGCGGCACCAATGAATTTATTAGTTGCGATTTATAAGTGACCTATCAAGTGTACCCTGCATATTTGCGAACAACAGGATTGTCGATGCGTTGCCAACCTGTATGTATATAAAGTACTTCTACTTTTTTTAATTTGGAACTGGCCAGCACTTGACTGCCATCCCACCAAGTGATGGCAAGTGGCGATGCAGGCTTTGATGGTAAGCGCGCTAGCTCAGTAGAAACCTATTCACTCTTGCCTTGAAGACGCCTACGTTGTAATCGGACGGGAAGACGGAAGCCGGCAGGTTGTTCCATTCCTTAGCTGTACGGATGATAAATGACGAAGCGAATCGCTTGGTTCTTGTTCTGGGAACATCGACAGCATAAGGGTAGACAATTATTGTATTGTCATGGGTCTTTCACGCGTGTGCAAAGCTCGATTCAAATCTGATCGTCCAAAGTGGGGCGAAATCACATTTAAAGATTCATTGATTATACATACATACATAATAGGTAAAACTAACATAATCTTGTTAAAAAGAAGACGAATTGACCATAATGATCTTCTTAATGACCAGATTTATTAATTCAAACAGTTTAACCATCCTTTTGGCATCTCAAATGTTTGAAAAGCCATTTGACAGCTAATTAGTAAACATATTTATTTATTTTATGCGAAAAGTTGTCAAACGAGCAGACGGTTCACCTGATGTTAAGTGAATACAGCCGCCCATGGACATCTGCCACACCCGAGGGTTTCAGATGCGTTGACAACCTTTTGAAAATTGGGCTCCAGCTACCTCACTCACCAGACGAAACGCGAAAGTATTTGTCATACTTCCACTTTACGCTGGTCTTCTGTGAGGTCGTGGTACTTACCCGGACGGGCCTGCCCATTCGTGCAACAGCCGAGGCTGCTGCGTGGCCCTACGACCGTTGTCATCTACATATCTATCTATACATCTATAATGATCAGTGTTTCAGAAACCGGGCGTAAGGATCTTATCCCGCAGCGCGAAAATATTTTCGACGATTTAAAATACGAATTGAAATACTTGACAAGATTCAATGCTGGACCAATTAACACTTAACAGCAGAGCTTTTTGTTCTAAGTGTTAGGGAATAGATCGTCATAAGTCACTTGTAGTTCGCAGGACTTGCACATATATTACTCTAATCTCTCTATTGAAAATAAATCATTTAATATTTTCAATTTTATGGCGAAGACTAACATAGAGAGATGTATTATTATTTTTTGTTTGATAATATACAGGGAGGTTTTTTTAAGTGTATCCACTTTTTTATTAAATTCTAGTCATAAATAATGTTATGTAAAAATGATAAATATTTAAGATCACTCGTAATTAATTAAATACATTCATTTGAACTTATCTCAAAAAGTGCGTGATTTATGGGCAACTAGTTCATTTTACGCGCGATCATTCATAACTAACACGCACACAAGTTCGTTTCAAAAGTATACGACGCATTTATGAATGACTACCGCATTGTCAACAAGTTCTGTTTTTTAGGGAATAGAACGGCAATTTTTTTGAAAAAAAATAAGTTTGTTTTTATTTCAATAAACGATTATACTACCGAGTCTAAACCTCCTGTGTGAATTTGGGAACCTTAAAAAAACCTTTAAAAAGCCAACCTGTATAAAGAAAATCTTTCTAAAAACAATCCCGAATCAATTTTCAATCCCGCCTACTATTTATAGAATCAGGAATTACATACTTCTTGAGTAGCCATTTTCACTTGAACTTTGATAAATTCGATGTGAAATATTTCAAGTGGTAACAATTTGGTGATTTTTTTGTTGAAAAATTGTTGAAATCAACTCAAGGTGATTTTTTTTGTTCATGAATCGTCGATAACTCTCGTCTTTCGGATAACTCCCATTAAAAAAATTGCTATCTACTAAAACTATTCATAGAAAATAAATTAAGTTTCCACTTGTAATTAATATATTTTTGATCTTTACTTTTGTTGGGAAGAAAACAAGAATATTAATGAATAAATATATTTCCGAAACTAACAAATTTAGAAATAAAAAATCATATTCCTTTCGTTTGCTCCTAATATTGGTCCTTCGTGCCGGATATAAAATCTCTTCAGTTCGTTATTAGTTCTCCAAAGAGTCATCTGTGATTTTAGCAGTTTCATGACTTACAGGAGTCTGCTTTATGTTATATAAATAAAAAAAATCCAAAATGTATTTGGAGTTTTATATCATTACAGTAACTGTAACGTAAACAGCGCTCTTTTTTAGTAAAATTATGTAAATCATTTAATTTTTTCTATCATTTCTTCTTCATTATAAACAAAATCTAAAACTTACTCATCAGTTGTCGTTTAATAAAAGGGATAAAAGAAAAGAAAAACCCTCCTTTCAATAACATAATACAAACGTTGAATCGGTCCTCAGCTATTAAGTCTTTCCATTGTAACTTTAAACGTCTTACTTACTCTTAATCATAGCAAAACATTTCTTATAGATCTATAAATCTTTATTCGTTTTATTTCAAAGTTTCCGTTAGATTCAATCATTAAAACTGCATCCTAGCTGCCGCAATAATATTCCGAAATTAACTTCTAGAATTTTCTTGAACTCCTAACTTCAATCGCTGCTATAGGCTCTGGAGAGCAGGGTAGAAGTTTCCAGATCCGGTTTTAACTCATCCAAATCTGACACAGAACGTTCTAGAAGATCGCGTGGCTGGTAATCATTGTATTTCCCCATGTCAGCGGAAAATAGGACCCTCGAAATCATCATCTCAACAACGCTTCTAACTCTATCGCCGTAACCCCTATGCTTTGTCGCCACGTAAACACCAAAGCTTTCGCTGGGATCTACCCTCGCGCCGCCGAAGTGTTTGCGTCTCTTTCTAACCGGTCTACGTTTCGATGTGTCAGAGCGAGACAGCTGCGATTTCCTATCGCTCGTCTTACGGGAGGCGTCGGAAATCGATCGCGCGTCATTCTCTAAGTTATCTTGTCTCTGGAAATTACGAACATAGGCGTAACGACTGTAACGAATAGTTAGTTTTATTTTTTTCTAGTAACTACCATGTTAGGAACCTAAGCAGATAAATGTTTTACTTGGCTTATAGAAAATATGCTGGTTAAAACTTAAACATCTGCCCGAGAGCCAAACACTTTCTTTTTTTATAATAATTACCAGAACTAATTGGTAAGACGTAGTTAATTGGTAGAACTTCGGACTAATGGTTTTCCGAGCCGCAATATATTTTTCATATTCGTAATCAATAACTTGTATAAATCTGATGAAATGTAAATATATTTCAAATTTTATACACGTTAAAACGGGGTAGGCATAGATAGAACAGGCTGTCCATTTATGGTCCTGGACGTGGCAAAAGGGCATATTAATAGTTATTGTTGTATGTAATAAAACCGAAGAACGTTATGAAATTGAGCCTTATTGACAAACAGATAAGACTGAAAATTAAAAAAGACGCCAATTTAATGCTGGTTAAGCACTAATTGAAGTCCCTGAGTGCGGCCGTAAAAATGCAATGTTATGGCAATAAAAGAAATACTGTAAAGCATATTATATTGATCAAGTAATCACCACTAAGCAATGTGTACCTGTAGAGTTGAGGATACGGAGTGAGCTCGCTGGTGGACCATCATCTCGTCGTTTTCCGTTTTGGGCTGCAAAGATAAGAAATCATGCATTGATTAAGCCATCTACCAATTTGTAAATATTCTATTTTTTCATGGACGGTGGCAAACGAGCCCATTGAAATTTGCAACACCCGTACGAATGCAGACGCGTTGCCACCGTTCAATAAAGTGGGCCCCGGCTACCTCACTCAACAGACAAAACGCAGAAGTGTAACACTACCGGTCTTCTGTGCTCGTGGTAGTTACCAGGAGGAAGCTGCCCATTCGTGCAACATCGGAGACTTTTACGAGCGATCGATAACTAATTTCAGCCGCCAACGGACAATTTTATGTGAAAAGCTGGCAAGCGAGCAGGTGGTTCAACTAAATGTTATGTGATCACCCAAGGACACCTGATGGGTTGCAGATGCGATGGCAACCTTTAAAAACAGTGGGTCCAGGTTACCTCACTCACAGTTTCCAAGGTATTGGCTCTGGCGCCGAGGGTCGTCGGTTCTATTTAGGCGTGGGTGGGATCAGGGCGTTTGTCCACGTGAAATTTATGTACGTAAAACGTCCTTACACAGGATAATGTGATGCTAGCTACAGTAAGGGCAATAGTTTTTATAGGAAAGACTACAATAGACGTTCCAGTTCTAGCACACTACCCAACCATGTCTAAACAATCCTAACTAACACTCCAGCACTGTCCACCACTGTCCTAAATTAAGGGCAATGTTTTCAAAAAGAATACCACAATAGACCTTCCAAGTCAGTAGTCGTTGGGACTTACTGCCCAACACCATCCACACAAAACACAATCCTACCCACCGTTCCGGTACCGGCTACGTACTTGCGCTTTATGAAACTACCCAACCCCTTCCACACAATCTCCTAACCACTGTTCCGACACTGTCTACGCGCTGGCTACGCACCTGCGCGGGCGAGACAGCCGGCGGCTCGTCTGGCGGCGCCCTGCCGGCCAGCAACGGGCTCGCGGTGGCACTGGCCACGGGCGTGGCGGCGCCGCTGCTACCGTTCGGCGGGGGCTTCCCCGCGCCGCACTGCTGCGCCTGTATCGCCTCCTTCACCTCTTGGAACTTCTCTATGAACTGCGGACGAGACGGGCACTCCCCTTACTAATAGTAGACCGAAATAGGCGGTAATCGGTGCAGCGGCAAGCGATGGCTCCGTGTAGGAGTTGCCGGAGGTCGTGGGTTCGATTCCCACACGAGACAATTATTTGTGTGATCCATTGATAATTGTTTTGGATCCGGGTGTGTGTCCACATGAAATTTATTTATGTAAATCGTTCTTACAACACAAGGTAAAATTATTCTGCCGTAATGGCAATTTTTTATTGCCGAATGCCCATGGCCGAAATTCGATTCCCGAACTACGACTCGACTGATACAAGCGGGTCGTACATGCGACCGATCGGGAAACGCATGTACGATTACTAAATGAATTACGGGAAATTAAATTAAAAATGGACGCGATAAATCCGTTAAATAGGTTTCATTAATCATTTCAATGTGTAAACACGTTAATACAAGAAGATTATCCATAACATTTATTTGACCCAAATCGTATTTAATTGTGTTTTGTGACCGAAGAGCTATACAGCCCGTATTGCTTCTCAGTGACACTACAATTATTGACAATGTAAAGTATCATCTTGGGCATATCGCTAATGCTTAAAGCATATGGAAGAAAAGTGTTGACAATTACCACCCAAATAGCAACAAACACCAATGTATGCAACGGCTTGAAAACTTTAATAAAAGATTGAAACTTATGACCTCTTTCGTTCTTATCGTATTAGAATTTTAAATCCAGTTGCTATTTTTCAAAACTAGTATAACTCTTATGCGACAATGAAAATGAATCTGATTATAACCGGACTGCCATTTGGCCTAGGAAACGCACCGTCCACTTTCACCCAACCACTCACCTTTCCCAGCTCCGCTTCGGACGCGAACCCAAGCCCGTAGACCGTGTTCGCTCTGACGTCGCTCCACTGGCCGAACTTTTGGGAGGTCTTTGTGAAAGTCATGTTTGCTGTGATGGTGCTGTTTATCACCGCCTGTCGGTCGTCAATTTAACTTATTCAAAAGATCGACATAAACAGTTATTTGAATACAGTGACAAAACACACTCGTTTTAAATTTAAATTAAAATACCTTTATTCAAGTCGAATTTCGTCGAATTTTAGTCATCTTTAGTTAGTAAGTTCCACCATCGTTTATTGTGTATTGTTGAATTATTAAAGGATTCTATTTAGCCATAAGGCATTCATTTAATTTTGATTTTATGTACTACTCAATTGTTAACAGTTTTTTGATTCAGCATATTATCCTTCTTGACTTTTGATTTTCGGTCTGTTATATATACTATCTAACACCTAATGAAAGCACAATACTACAATTTGAAATATCAAGAGTTAAGTATCAAAATATTACATCGTGTTTTTAGAACTAAATCATCACATAATCCGTAAAGAAGATTTCCAAAAAATTTAATAATTCAAACATTTACATTCATAGAAATGACATTCAAAAATAGTTACCAAAATACCCAGTTTTAATACATAAATACAGTTTTCCCTATTCAAGATTCTGATCGAACAAATACAAACTGCAGTGAACGCAGTGTCCAAACACAACACGAAATATTGCATCACATTTACAGACTACGTGAAAATGCCACAGCTCTTGTAAAACTTAACATTAAGATTATGAAAAATACAACATGAATTTACATTCAACTAAACATATTCGCTAGGGGAAACGGGTCCGTATGGTATTAAAACTAACATAAAAGCATTTGAAACCGACCTCGCTTTAAATTTACACCGCCGATGAAACATCCCTATGATGAGTACTCCCGAAGATAACATAGAGAGATACCTCATTATACCGACGTATTAAAGTATTTGTTAGATTTCTGAAGTGTGACAAGCGACGAGGCTGTCGTCCTAAGATTAGGGCTTAGGACAACAGCCTCGTCGCTTCCTCAGGCCTCAGCACAATTGTAAGAAAGTTATTTTCGAACGGTTAACGAATCCGATAATTATTTTTTTTTATGTGAGAAGGTGTTTACCACCTGAGCGATTCACCTGATGTTAAGAGATAAGAGCCGCCCATGGACATTTGCAACGCCCAGAGGGTTGCAGATGCGTTGCCATCTTGTAATAAAGTGGGCGCACATATGTTCGCAATGTTTTTGTTATTATTTAAAAAATATGTAGGTGTCCTCACGCTGTTATCCTTCGCCGCTGAGCAAGTTATAAGTCAGCACTTAAGATTAACTTTGACTTTGACTTAAAGTTAACAATTTCACCGGCACCGGGGATTGAACTCTGATTGCTCGAGTATATTGGAATAAAAGCATCGTGCGGACAATGAACAATAGCCGTCTATTATCTTAGATTTATTCAGCATTAAAAACCGTCTCGACGGGTTGACGTCACGAAATTCGATACAAAACGGGCATTCGGTGTCGCGGTAGAAGAATTTACGGCAAACTACGATTCGGTCAAAGACAAGGTGACCCGTCTGCGAGCCGACGTATGCATCGATTGTTAGCCCTAAAGCCTCTACCTTGTAACAATAAATATAAATCAAGCTAACTTTACATATGCTCATATATAGGGAGATTTTTTGAGAGTGCCCAAATTTACACAGGAGGTTCAGACTCGGTAGTATAATCGTTAATGGAGATAAAAAACAGTTTTTTTTTTTTTTTTTTTTCAAAAAATATTCCAAAAAAAAATAATAGAAATTCCCTAAAAAACAGAACGTTGACAATGCGGTAGTCATTCATAAATACCTAAATTTTACTGTGCACGAAATTGTGTGCGTGTTAGTTATGAATGATCGGGCGTAAAATAAATGAGTTGCGTATATGCACTTTTATATACAGCGTGTCGTTACCACCGCGACAATAAATGAACACACATATAGAGGATAACTTTTTAAAATTGTATTAAGCATTTACATTCTTTAAACACCAATATTTACCGAGTTATTAAATTTTCCAAAACAATGAATTTTAGAACACCCTTACGTATAAAACTGTACCGTAAACCTCATTTGTAAAGATCACAAAGCATATGAATGGGTTGAATGAATTTAAAAGAGACAAAACATACTGTTAGAAGGAGAGGCTTGTAATGCGACGCTGTGGCGCGAGTTGTATAGGATGTTACAAATTTTGTTTCTTTTTTACTTAATTAGTTTGTTTGAAAAATATTTTTTTTTTAATTATGGATTTTGTTTAACGTTAATATTTTTTTATGATTATTGGCAAGTAGTGTTAGACGTGTGTTCATTTATTGTCGCGATGGTAACGACACGCTGTATAGGCACTTTTTGAGATAAGTTCAAATGAATGTAATTAATTAATTACGAGTGATTTTAAATATTTATCATTTTTAATATAACATCATTTATGTCCAGAATTTAGTAAAAAAATGGATACACTTAGAAAAGCCAACCTGTATAATAAGTGAGTAGCATTACTCGCGGCTAAGTATCACGACCTCACGAAGAACGGCGTAAAGTGGAAATATAATGGTATGTCAGTGAGGTAGCCGGAGTGCAATTTTCAAAAGGTTGTCAACGCATCTGCAACCCTTAGGTGTAGCAGATGTCCATATGGGCGGCGGCATTCAAGTAACATCTGGTGAACCGCCCGCTTGCTTGGCAACTTGTCACATAAAAAAAGAGTATCAGGTTTTAAGTCAAGGATATCAGAATTACTCTGAATATTTAGCAGAAATCCTAAATCCGTATAACATTAATTTAATATTCCAACGTTTAAGTTTTTAAAGCATTCATTGCCTAAGTAATTGCAGAACTATCTACATGAGCCGACAAATTTCCGTTAGAACGTTCACAGATCGGAAGTTCTGCAAACTACAAAAGTCACGAAGATCAGACGATCAAGCTTCTATTTTACAAGTATGGAATTGCTTGCGATAGTCACCTCTGCTGGTTGATTCACTTAGAGAGTTCGATTAGCACTTACAGAGTGACAGTTTAGTCTATTTCTACTTTTTTGGTAGATTTTGAGGTACTGGCAACAGAATTTAGTATGTAAAAATTATTTGGTATATTTTAGTAGAATTCACGCTTTTCAGTTATTCTAGTACTTTTTTGGCATATCGGATAAAAGCGGGGTATTCCCCCTTGGTAATGGATTGTAACTATTTAATTTTCATTCTTTTCGTTACCATTCGTACCGTAAGTGTAATAGACTAGTGGGAATTCCTTTATTAACAATTTTTCCCGATTTGTGAGATGTAAAGCTTTAGTTTCCTTATTTTTCTGTCACTTTACATGTTTTATATATATTGCGTGCTTAGATGCAGACGCCGAAAACGAGGAGTCCGGTATAGTGACTGCATGTCTCCACGATCAAGACGCGAGTCCACCTGCAGATAACTACATGCCGCAATCGTCTACTTGTGGGAAATAGGGGTGCACGAGTACCCTTGTCTCGCCTGCCGCTGAGGACCAACGGGACCAAGTCCAACCTACACGTCACTGCTTGATTAGGAGAAAAGAGAGGGAAGAGCCCGAGGACGGCCTCATGTCAGGAGAAGCCATATAGAAGATTATTAGTATAGGAGTATAGACTACTATTAGTATGGGACTTTTAGAAGTTTAACAGTATAGACGATCAATAGTACGGTAGGAGTATAGACGATTAATAGTATGGGAGTTAAATTATTGAAATTGCCTATAAAATCTCGTGCGGAGCTACGCTCTAGGGAACCGGTGGTCGGTCGTCAAAGCATAAACGTGATTTATTATTATTTTGTGCAGATATTATGTTCCTTTTGTTTTATAAATGTTCTTTTTAAAAAATAAATTCCTTACGGATATTCTAGAATGTAATATATAGAAATTAACATTAAAAAAAACAATGGTTTCTTTAATTGTTGTGGTTTGTTTATTATTCTTATTACTTTATCGTTTAATCAAAAAAACATTCATATTTTTAAGTTTTAACACGACTGCAAAAAATAGAATAGATTTTTAGTATTTTCTCATTCTCTTTTGGTAGAATTCAGTAGTTTTTAACCTCGACCAGCAGTAGATTCGTCAAATGAAATCTGGTCACACTGTCACTTAACTGACAAACTTTGTTCATTTACAAAGTTCAGACCTTATAGGCTTATTAGAACTCAACTTGCCAAAAATTACTTTAGTGCGATAACTATTATTCGTGTGGATTTCTGTTCTTGTAAGTTTTGTTTGGCAAATTTACAGCTACGGCATTCCAGCAGCATTGATAAAAACACATTAGTTTTCGTCGTCTAGAGCAAGGATGAGCAACGCGCGGCCCGCGGGCCTATTGCGGCCCCTTAAACATGTTTATGCGGCCCGCCAAGCATTTCTAAAATTGAATTTATTTTATGGAATTTCTCCCATAAATATATTGATATAAAATTAATTATAATAAAATGGTAGTACATACTGAACCGAAATATTTTTTGTTCGTTTTTCTGTTCTTTTCTTGTTTGTTTTTACCTTGCATTAAAATTTGTATATGAAATCTTTACTTTTTTTTAATTTTATATTTTTTTATTCTAATATTTATTATAAATAAAGTTTCGTAACTTATTATGTGCGGCCCGCCAAAAAAAATTTAAATTTAAATTGGCCCATTGATTAAAAAGGTTGCTCACCCCTGGTCTAGAGGAACGCTATCCAAGCTTTTGAATCCGCTACAATGAATATAGTCTTTTTCTAGTGTGTTTTATTTATATCTTTATATGTATAATTTTCCTGTACGTGTGTATGTAACTGAACGCCTCCTAAGCGACTGGATCGATTTTATGCAATTTTTGTGTGTCTTCAGGTCAATTCGAGAATGATTCGAGATTCACAATTTGTTTTTTTTTTTTGTTTTTTTTTTATTTATAAGTTGTTGTCGGATTTAAGTCGCGTGTACAGGACAATGTCTGTTGGGTGCGGTCCCAACAGACATTGTCCTGTATTATTAGCGGTAATTATATATATTTATTAACAGAAGAGAAGTTTTAAGTATATTTATGAGTTACGTACGTTACGATCTTGTATATTGGTACGCTAGTACCAATATACAAGATTTGTTTAGTTTGGGTCTAGATACAGTTGTATAAAATAATGTTCGTGAATATTTATTACAAATTTTCTATATAAATTTAATACATGTGCATTTTTCTTACTACACTTATCGAACAAATGTCACAACAAAATCCTTTCAGAAAAGGCAACTTTCTGTCAAAGAATCATTTTTTGCACAGAGAAGTACCACAACCTCACAGAAGACTACCGTGACGTAGCAGTATCCCTAATTTTATGGAAATTTCGAAGGCCGTCAGCCAAAGTAGCCAAAGCCAATCTATAGCTTCTACTTTTAAACCGATAGAAATATGTTGCTTCTATTTCTGTGCCACTAGTAGTAAGCGCTGGAATACTCCCATCCGACTGGAAAAACTCACCTTGGTGCCTTCGACGCTGATGATGCGGTAGAGGTTCCTCGATGAGTCGTAGAAGAACGAGACGGAGACCGCAGCCGAGCTAGCGGACATCCAGGATCTTTTCGTCTTCGGGTCTATGTGGAACACGTGCGCTTTGCACGTGAAGATCGGTTGTTCCCTGGAAAGGGGGCGAAATTTGTCAAGGCTTTAGTTGAGGACAACAAAAAGACCATTGTCATAAAATGGCTTTTGTTTGTGGCAGGGTCACGCGGCAGGTTTTACTGTTGCCCAAATGGGCAGGCTCCTCCAGGGAAGTACCATAACATCGAACAGGACCGGTGTGAAGTAGAAGTATTGTACTTTCACGTTTCGTCTGATGACTAAGTAGCCGGGGCCCGGCCCAATTAAAAATCATGTATGTTGTATGGGAGCCCCACTTAAATATTTTTTTATTCTGTTTTTTAGAATTTGCTGTTATAGCGGCACGAGAAATATATGATCTGTGAAAATTTCAACTGTCTTACAGCGTTTAAATCTGAGACAGTGACATGTAAGATATAAATGTAATAAAATCGCGAGCCTCGGCAATATCGCGGGCAAAATTAAGTGTAAAACTTCAGCGGAGAGCACGCGTGAGATGTGCATGCCTCGGATTTCATATGTGCAAAACGTCATTTTTCCTCTCACATTAGCAACAGACTGACTGCCGTCCACTGTCGGGCCGAGTAGCCAGTCATAAGGACGGGTAGTCATAACGCCAATGAAACACTAACACTAGATAAATTTTTGAAAAATATTCATCGCTGAATGGAGTCGAACATTTAAGCCAACTGAGCTTTATCGATATCGGTCGATATTTCACGGTGCGAAAATCTCTACAACTAACTTTAGTGTTTGCATTATTAGCAACTCTGCGTCACCTACCATTAAAACAAATCGATTTACATTGTCATCGGGATACTATCAAATAACATTTTACAAGGAATATTACTGTAATACTATACGGGTAGTATCGGTGTTCTTTTGCTAGGATTGTTGATTCTAATGTAGTGGTTGGGGCGGTCCTAAATATGATCGCATACTGGAGACCTGTTCAACCGTCGTAAGCTGTGTTCCTTTACTCAAAGTTAAACGCTGTGTAAGAGACTAGGCTTTTGAATAGAGAATATGGTTGGGGTTTATCATCAGCTTGGAAGCCTATAATTTATAAAAATGGATCCAAGCACACCAACACTACAAGACCTCAAGATTCCACAAGCTATTTTTGCGTAGATCGGAATAAATTAAATAAAAAATTATTGACGGTAGCCCGGGTAACTCTGATCTGTTTCTATACATCAAGAATAAATCCTCGCGTGTTCAAAAAAATCTCTTATCGGTTCCCCGCCATAGGTTGCTCTCATTTGATGCTATATCGATCTATCTCCTCAAAAACGACATGCGGTTACTGCGAAATTCGACCTTATCGTCGAAACCGCACAGTCCAAAGTCGAACGTCGCGCGTCTCCCTTTCATATTCGAGTAGTGCACTTAGGATGTTATCAATAGACGCGTCAACTGCTGATATTACACTGTGTGAAGAAACCGTCTTTGTTTCGCGGGTGAAATAAATAGCGATGGCATTCGAAACGCGGCGTCTATGTGCTGGAGGAGAAAATTAAAAAAAAAAGAAGAGCGCCAAAATTGTTTTAAAATGTGTTCATTTTGCAATTGGCGCCAATTAATGACAGATGTCAAAATATTAATTTGGCGCCAATTAAAAATCTTACGATGACAAATTTCAAAAATTTAGTTTACTGTATGTTGTAATATTCTAAATTTATAAATTAAAATTAATATGTAATTATATATAAATAATGATAAAATGCCCCGATAAAAATGTCACATTGTGCTTTATGCAACATTTTTGTTATCTTGCAATAAGTAAATTATAGTATTCAAACGCGGACAGGCAAAAGAGAAAAAACCAGAGATCGTTGAAAGAGAAATTTCTTGAATTGATTGTCTGAAAACGTCATGAAACGGAAATAAAAACAGTCGCAGGAAAGGCTAATTATTGAAATACTAGCGACCCGCCCCGGCTTCGCACGGGTGCAATGTATTAAACACATAAACCTTCCTCTGGAGTCACTCTATCTAGTAAAAAAATCAGATCAACATCCGTTGCATAGTTTTAAAGATCTAAGCATACATAGGACAGACAGCGGGACGACTTTGATTTATACTATATAATGATAGTGCTTGTGAAGTCCGACCAAGTGCGAGTTGCACTCTCGTAATGAGGGTTCCGTACAAAACTGTAGTACCTAAGCACTGAATACTCTAACGAATAAAAAAAACTCGATACTCTAATTTGTTTGTACAACAAATCCTCCGACCAGTTAAGAAAAACAAATTAATAACATATATGTTTTTTTTTTTTTTTACTTTTGAATGTTTAGTTTTTTCACAGCTGCAGATTGCAAACCTTCACATATTGTTTTATATTAATTTCAACTTCGACGCGTTCCCGAGAAATGTTTCGCGACAGACAGATAGACAGACTGCGGACAACGAATGAACCTATCAGGTTACGTCCGATCCTTGTCCTCCTGAGGTACGGAACCCTAAAATCGATACACTAAATGAGGAAGGCGTCCCAAATATGTGAAACGTTTTCATTTTGCAAAATCACGCGCATAAGAATCAAGCACGCGAATAAGATTTCATAATTACAATTATGCCCGTATTTGTTGCGGAGTTTAAAACGATTGCGGCGAACGCGAGCGATACGTATCATGTCTGCCGCATAACTATTAATATCCTGTGTTCGTGAAGTAACTTAAATCAATCTCAGCACATTGCCTTTTACATATATTCCCGTGAGAAAAATGAAACGGAATTTACGTCATCTCGCATAGTCATAACCGTGATCTCCTTCCTTCCATTAGTTTGATCGTTATTAGTGAAAAATATCTTATATTCTAATGATATGTCTGTCTGTCTGTTTCTCCGTCTGTCACCAGGCTATAATCTCAAGAGCCGTGATAGTTAGACAGTTGAAATTTTCACAGATGATGTATTTCTGTTGCCGCTATAACAACAAATAGGTACTAAAAAACGGAACAAGAACATATTGAAGTGGGGTGGAAGCCACGATTTTTTTTGCAGTTTTTATAGATAATCGTACGGAACTATCGTGCGCGAGTCTGACTCGCACTCGGCTTTTTTTTTTTTCTTTTACTGTACATTTGATATTTTTGCTTTCATTCAATAGACTTCACTGGGCTTCATCGAACGCAGAACTCGTCGACTAGCCAGAACCCTAGCTTGATACGGCCCTCGAAGTTGATTACTGTCTTATACTCATGCGTGCGTCATCTTAAACGGGAGATATGTCACCTGCGGGCCACCGAGGCTCGGTGCGGACCGTGACCCCGATCGCCGTTGAATGTATTGGTCGGTGCCCGGGAGCTAGAACCGAACTGGAACGCGTGTGTACCTTGTGTACACGTGTCGCAATGTTGTTAGAAAAATCTATACCGCTGTATAGTCCGAACTATCACAATATTTAAGGCATCCATTCATAGGCACAACTACATAATAATGTCTCAAATATAATATTTTTTTATGTGAGAAGGTGGCACGCGACTTGGCGGATCACCTGGTGGTAAGAGATAACCGTCCGAGATGCATTGCCACCTTTGTGTAATACTTCCACTTTACGCCGATCTTCTGTGGGGTCGTGGCACTCCCCCGAACGTACCTGCCCATTTGTGCAACAGCGAAGACTGTTGCGTGGCCCTACCACAGTAAAACTTTACGGATTAACATACAGATTAACAGCAATACAACAGGTCTTCCTGTTCGCAGTGGTTGTTGGGACTGACTACACAATCACACAAATCATAATGACCATGTCTATGTAACTAAATAATGTTGTCTGAAAACTTTTGCATGTAATTTCAATAAACAATCTGCAATTAGATTGAAGGAAAGAAAGAAAATACATTTATTTACAGAAAAAAACGATGCACCCAATGATTGCTAAATTTTATTTAATTGGTATATATTAAGTGACAGTGAAAGTTGGCTTACTGACCTAATATCCCGTAGCCTGTAACTACCCAATTTAATGCCAACCAGATGTGCATGAAATGGCGAACATAAATAATGCAAATGGAAACTTGAAGACAGATAGTAATTGCATAGTATATGAGGAACCACCCTCGATATCACAAATCATTAAAATCACATTAAATACTAAACTGTAGTTGGAAGAAACACACAAGCTAGCAATCCCAAGGGATAACAAGGGTGAGATTGTCCATTTAACACAACTCTGACACAACTTTTAGTGCTGTTCATAAGTCCTGTTTATTACAATGATCACATTATTGCCATTCTAATGACAATAATGTTTTTAGTCCTAGTCCCAGCGTGTCCCAGCAATATCCAAAAATTATGTATTTTGGTTATCTTCAAAATATTATTATATAAAGTAAATTTGTTTAATAGAATGGTATAAAGATAGGAATTTCAATCTACAATTTAAGAAAATTGTGTGACCCCTGCACAATGTTTTGTTTGTAAAAAGAATCATATTAGAATACAATATTATTTTATTGAGAGGCTTTATTTAAAGTTAAGGATATCCAAAAAACTGAAAAAGCATATTAAAATGACATGCAATTGGAATAACATTCAAATTACACTTTCGACACAATGATCATCCATGATATAATATAATATGCAGAAACCTGTATTGAGCTGATTATTACAAGGTTAAAAATTATTATTAATAGTGTATCTACACTATAATAAAGCAGCTGGTGTGACTTGAATTTTGTAATTCACAATTTTGTAATAAAGTAGTATAAGAAAATAATAGTACTAAACATAAATGGCCATTTTTCCATTTTTATAACACGTGAATATTAATGTGTAACAGGGAACGCGTAAATAATACATATTTCCTCCACTCTACGTTTCTAATGAGCCTAATTAACTCGTACCGCGTACTGAGTTCTCGTTAACTAAAGACCGTTCAAGTATGAACAAATAATCGGCATTATAAATAGCGGGCTTCCACCTGACGGCTCTAAACGACCTTAAACGATGAGGTAAAAGCGTTCAATCGAATGCAATAAGCCTGCAGTCCATACGAGCGTGAATTTCTCTGCTCTAAACATATCGCATAAATACCGAATAATTTTGGATACATTTAAATTCACAACTTTACCGCCAAATTCTTAATGAAAGTGAAAACGGGAAATAGTTGAGTGGAAAGCTCAAAATTAATGCTTCGCATTGGTAAAGTATATCCCCTCCCTAAAAATATCTCGTTGCAGGGAAAACGATTTTTCCTGGAACTTTCCCTGGAATTATTTTGGATGTTATCTTTGAAACAACTAGATTATAGTATAACAAGCAAAGCTTACCCCATTGTTTCTTTTCCTGCTGTCATTTAAACACAGTAATTTAGAAAATACTCTACTTCATAATTCCAGATTTTTTTTCACACAACTGTCATGCGGCGATTTCACCATAAACTAAAGAATTTAATAAGATTGCCATACTCAAATGGGAAAACATAAATGGAATAAAAACTTTACCATATAATATTGAAGAAAATACGATTTAACAATATTATTAACCAAATGTTTATTTTTAAAAACTCATAAAATATTTATTATCTGTTTAAATAAACAGAAAGAATACTTTTTTGTCAATTAATTAAATATATGTAATGACCATAAATTATGAAACAAAAAGCGGCATCTGGCATCACAAAACCTAAAACTACACAACTTCACTATTCGACATTAGATGGCGTGAACATTAAGTTATAAAAGTAATAATTTACCTATTAAACGAATTATTTTACATTTATAATAAATGAAACTTCGAATTACAGGTTTAGAAATAAATCATTGTTACTATCTAGTCTATTTATGTATATGTTATGTTTTTTAACTTTGTCATCTTTATCATAAATTACGAAATAAAAAAGTCGAACTAATTTATACTACTAGCAATACTCGCAGTTTGAATTACAATTCAAACTGCGAGTTTTGCTAGCTCATCGGTCCAATTCAACTATTTCTTATGCTAATTATTCGGCGTGCATTGTAGGTACAACTTCTCTTTGAATCGACACATTAAATTATAAATGTGATATTAATATAACTTTACTTTTTTGTTATATACATAGGTGCAATTATACCAATATAACAAAAATGTGTACTTACTTAAACATTAAAATTTGTAGAATGAATAAAGAATGAAAATAATTAATCTTTTATATGTAAAAACCAAACGCTCGACAACGTTTGGATTACAGTTTTGTTTCAGTCCCTAATGTTTAATGAATAGCAAATTGAAGTAAAGTTAGGTAAAAATAAATTATATTTGTGCACATTTTTCAGACTAACAAGACACTAGTAAACAGCACTAAACGAGATAATAAGTTAATTCCATCTACTACCGAATGATGTCGCTAAATTCAATAGGAAATAATCGCACTAGTCGCAGATTTTGGTTATCGTGTTCATGTCCAAATAGCAAACTACCAAAGTTATCATATTTTAAAACAATACCTTCTATTTACTTACAACGAAGTATTGTTTCATTTGTTCTTTTTAATTATGATCATGATTTAAATTCAACGAGGCGATAACAGTAAACAGAAACGATAATGCTCTCTGCATTCAAATCTTATTACACTTTTGAGTTAAACACGTATAAAACGTTATAAATTGTGCCAAATCGCTCCTTTAAAAGATGAAAAGGTAAAATGATCTTACAGCCGGCTTCAATATTCTATTGATCTGTAGATTAATCTAGTAGATTTTTGTTGACGTTCAATAAGAGCTTAAGTTAGGCCTATATTGAATAATTATACTTTGACTTTGAGATTCAGTTAAAGAATATAAAATTCTGGCGTACTATAACGCCCGGTTTCTGAAACACTTGTCATCGTAGAACTTAACTAATCACCTATCAATTTACGGTGGTAGGGCCACGCAGCAGCCTCAGCTGTTGTACGAATGGGCAGGGCCGTCCGGGTAAGTACCACGACCTCACAGAAGACCAGCGTAAAGTGTGACAAATACTTTCGCGTTTAGTCTGGTGAGTGAGGTAGCCGGAGCCCAATTTTCAAAAGGTTATCAACGCATCTGTAACCCTCGGGTGTAGCAGATGTCCATGGCGGCGGTATTCACTTAACATCAGGTGATCCGTCTGCTCGTTTGGTAACTTTTCGGATAAAAAAAAGTCACCAAAAGTATTGGTAAACTCTCTAAATTAATCAGAATGATCTTCTTAATGGTTAGAACGATCAATTCAAAGAGTTCAACAATCCTTTTGGTAACTCGAATAACATTTGAAAAGCCATTTGACAATTGATTAGTTAACTTCTACGATGATCAATTGTCAACTGCCTATCACTAGTAACCAAATCTACAAATAGATAGAACAGAATATTGAAACAGGCAGTTGGTCAATACAAGGTTTCTATAATTCTATTAGTTTTAAGCATTGTAATTGTTGGTTAAGGTAAACTGCACGTGTAGTTTCATATAACGGAGCCCTAAACTGGAGCGAGCTGAACGGCTGCGTTTAGAGCAAAAAGAGTCTAGTGAAAGTGTTGTGGGCGAGTTACATAAAACGTATCGGACGATAGCGAATGCGCGCTCTGTAAGGCCCGACGGTAACTAGCGGCTGGTGAATGTGCCAGAGGTGTGTAATTAACGAGAGAGGTGCGCAACCTTTTTAAAAGTATCAGCCTGTACAAGTCCCACTGTTGGGCAAAGGCCTCCTCTGTACAGAGGGTATCAGGGCATAGTCCACCACGCGACCCCACTGCGGATTGGCGGACTTCACATATTTTCGAATCATTTTTTTTTTTGTTATTATTTCGAAAATATACAGCTTTCCTCACGATGTTTTCCTTCACCGTTGAGCACGTGATAATTCAGCGATTAAAATTAACAATTCTATTGGTGCCGGCACCGGGGATCGAACTCAGGTTGCTCGAGTGTATTAAATTTAAGGCGAGCGCCCGGACACTGAGCTATCACGGCTCACCTTTTTAACCGACTTCAAAAAAGGAGGATGTTCTCCATTCGAGTGTATTTTTTTGTGTTACCTCAGAACTTTCGAGTGGTTGAACCGATTTTGATGATTCTTTTTTTATTTTGATTTTTTTTATTTCCGATTCATATAAGCTCAGTTAAGTAAATTAGCATAAGTATGTAATGGACGAATAACTCGATATCACGCAAACGTATTTCGATAATTATTTTTTATTTTATTTTATTGGAATGTGTGTACTTCAAGAGTAGTTTGATGAGAGTTTGTTTAGGTTTTAACTATGATCTACATAAAAATTAAAATGAAATCACTAAAAATAGAAAAAAAACAACAAAAAAGAACCGACCTCGAAAAACACTGCAAGCACTAAAAAGTTATTGACACTAAATTTAATATAATGAAATCTTGAAAATCTAACGTGTATACAACATAACCTACCTACCTATAACAAAATTCAACAATTTTAAGAGTTGGTGCCGTTGTTCACCATGGGTAATGGTTAGTTGTTTACTTCAGCTATTTTCACAGCATCTTGTCGTACGGCATTTTGTTGTGGGGTAGTGCATCTGATATAAATTCAATATTTATTCCTCAAAAAAGAGCTGTCCGAGCAATTTATAACATTGGAGCCCGGAATACACTCAGAGATCTTTTTAAAGAGATTAATATACTCACTGTTGCGTCTCAATATATTTATTGTAATATTTTGTATGTTACATAATATTAATAATTATCTAAAGAATAGTGACAGACATAAACTAAATACTAGAAATAAGGACAAACTAAGTACGCCATTGTTTCGCCTACAAAAAGTAAACAGGTCGTTCATGGGGCAAAGTGTGCGCATGTATAATAAAATCCCACAGTCGATATTAAGTCGGCCACTTGATGAATTTAAACGAAAATTTAAAAGTAAACTTATGGCTAAAGCCTATTATACTATTGCCGAATATCTTGACGACGCTGTTGATACTCACGTAGGCTAAAACAAGACTATTGTACCTTTACTATTATACTGTAAACTGATTTTTAAAAAAAAGAGCAACTGTTGAGTTTCCTGCCGGTTTCTTCTCAACAGAAACTGCTTTCCGAACCGGTGGTAACTGACGAACGTGTTAATTTCTTTGTAAAATTTTGACGTTTCATAAGAACGCGCAAGCGTCTATGTGAATAAAGATATTTTATTTATTATTAATATTAGTTCACCGTGTGTAAGACTTCACACATCTTTTTCGGAGATTCCCTCACGATGTTTTCCTTCACGACTGAAAAGGTAATAAGTCAGCATTTAATAGTGCAATTGTTGATTTCATTGCAAGATTTATTACAAGTAACACAACTTAGTAAGCGGCTTTTAAATTTATTTAATTCATTCAAACTTAAAAATCTTTTTTATGAACCAACTCGTGTTACTAACTTATCCTCCACATGTATCGATAACGTTTTCTGTCACAATGAAGTATATGACAAATCTATTATAAATTATCTGAGCTCTGATCATCTTGGTTTAAAATTTTCAATAAATGAAAACATTACTACAAGTGATATTAAGATCAGGTGTAGACCAGTCACTGCTAGGAGACTAAATTCTTTTAAAGATAAAGTAGCACAGCATGTATTCCATAAAGATATCGGAGTCAATAACCCTAATGATTGTTATAGATCAATGGTTGATTTTCTCATAACTTCCTATAATCATATTTTAAACACCGCACAATTGTTAAAAAATCAAAATTAAAATTTAGTGACTGGGCAACAGTGGGTATATATAAAAGTAGGGATTCACTGTATGAATTATATAATATGAGGCAGTGGAATCACGACCCTAATTTCCATAAACGGGTACAAAATTTTTCAAAAATATTTAAAAAAGTCTGTATACATGCAAAATCTATCTACATAAGAAATAGGATTTTAAATTCTAGTAATAAAATAAAAGCTACATGGGACATCATTACCTGTATATCTGGAAGACCCAAGATATTCAGGGAACCTATAAAGCTAGTGATAGGCAATACACCCATAACTTCAGATAACGAAATTGCAAGTAGTTTTGAAAGTTATTTTTCAGAAATTGCAATTAATGTTACATGCACGTTAAAATCCTCTCCCATTGATGCAATTAATGTATTAAAAAATAATGTTACCTATTGTCGACAAACGTTTAAATTTAATCACATAGATACTAATGATATTATAAAAGTTTTGAATTCTATTAATCTTAAAAATACAGGAGATTTGTGGGGCATGTCCATAAAATTAATGAGTACAATAATGCCGTATATTGCACCATATTTGGCAAATATTTTTAACAAATGTATAGATTCTGGAATATTTCCAGATCTTATGAAATTCAGTAAGATAATCCCCGTT